CCACCATGCCCGGCTAATTTTTTCTATGTATTTTTAGTTGTCCAATTAATTTCTTTCTATTTTTAGTAGAGACGGGGTCTCGCTCTTGCTCAGTCTGGTTTCGAACTGCTGAGCTCAAACAATCCGCCCGCCTCAGCCTCCCAGAGTGTTAGGATTACAGGCGTGAGCCACTGCGCCCGGCCCTAGCCTGTTTTAATCTTACCTGATTTTTATAATAGTAAGTTTTTTAACTATAGAAGTGACATAAAAAGTAGGTCGGGTGTGGTGGCTCACGCCTGTAATCCTAACATTTTGGAAGGCCAAGGCAGGAAGATTGCTTGAGCCCAGGAGTTTGAGGTTGCAGTGAGCTATGATGATGCCACTACACTCTAGCCCAGACAACAGAGCTGGGTACAAAGTACAATGATCTCTCATATACCTTTCATCTAGATTGACTATTAATATTTGGCCATATTTGGTTTATCTCTATGCATGTGTATGTAGATATATATCTATATGCACTTGCATTTGTTTGTTGTGTGTATATGTTTTTTTTAAACCTGATCATTTTGAAAATAAGTTTAGAAAAGAGGCAGTGGGGAACAGTCAGTAGGCTATCACAGTGATCAGTAAGTGATCAGTAAGAGAGATAATGGTGTTTTGATGTTGTGATGGTGGTATCTTAAGTGCTAGGAGGAGATGAGTACAGGACATCTTGGGAGTATACAGACTCCTACTCTGTCATTTCTGATAGCCAGAAGAGGTTTCACAAAGACAGTGACAGGTAAACTACAACCCAAAGGACCCTTTAGAATTAACCAGGTAACAGGTGAAAGAGAGCATTCCAGGCCAAGGGAACAGAATATGCAAAGGCTTGGTAGCATGGGGAGAACTTCACGTGTTTGAGGAAACTGCATGTAGATTTCCATGTCCAGATTATCCAGGTTGAGGTGAAAAAACGGGGAATTGCTGCAGAAAGAGGGAAGCGGATCTTAGAGGGCCTTTTAAACTAGGTTAAGGAACTGAGAGTTAATCTAGAGGGCAGTGGGCACCATTGAAGATTTTAAATGGGGTTAGAATATGATTAGACTTCCAGTTTTGAAAGATTCATCTGACTAAAGAGTGAAGAAAGGATTGGAGGGAGGTTTGAGAAGAGGCAAGGGGACCAGTTAGGATCCATGGGCAAGATGGTGGCAGTAGGAATGGAAAGAGGTAGATGGAGATTTTCAGGAGGAAGAATTGACAGCACAGAACAACACCTGAGGTGAGATTGTGGGAACTCAGGGTGAGTCCCAGTTTTCTAGCATGGGCAGGAGGATGGATGATGGAGCCCTTTACTCAGTTGTCAGGGAGGGCGGAGACACAGTGAGGTCACTTGTGGATGTGGTTTGAGGTGTTTGTTGGTGATCAGTTGGAGATGTCTGGCTGGCACCCCTGAGCCCCAGGGTGGAGGCCTGAATTTGAGGCAGCGAAGGTGAGCTCTGCCCTCTGCCTTCTCGCACAGCCCCAGCCTCAACATGTGCATAAGAAGGCTTTTGCAGTCCGCCCCTCTCCAGTGGGCTTGGAGGGCAGCCTTCCTGAAACACTTCCAGTCCAGGCACCAGGGAACCCACCGGTGGACACATTTTGGAGGCAGCACCTACAGAGCCGTAATTTTTGACATGGGCGGAGTTCTCATTCCTTCTCCAGGGAAAGTGGCTGCAGGTGAGCTCTTCATTCTGTTCTGTTTCACTTTGGGGGACTGGGGTGTGGGGGAGAATGGAGGGGGTGGAGGAGGCAGAGTGTATCCCAGCGGGCAGTGCTCTGGCTCTTGAATCAAATTCCAAGCACCACTTAGTGGCTGAGTGTCTTGGGCAAATTATTCAACTTGTCTTATTTTCCTCCTCATTAAATTAGGACTAATAAAAGTACCTGCCTCCTTGGGATTTGGGGGAGAGTTGAATGAAGCAATCCACGAAAAGCACTTGCCTAGCGTGGTGAGTGCTCAGCTCCTCCTAGATTCTCAATCAGCGATGAGCTGCCATGATTGTCGTTGTTGTGATCAGAATTTAACTACCTTTCCCTGGGAACTGTGCTGCTTCTGAAATCTTGAATGCTGAATGCAATTGCCCCTTTGATTACATTTCTCTCTTCTGCCTCGCTCCCTCTAAACCTGCTTCTGGGCCTACAAGGTGAACCCTCCAGTCTCCTTGGCCCTCTCTTTATCAGCCTCTCCCTGGTTTTACTTCTTTTCCCTACTCAGTTCAACCTACGTTAGTTAGATTCATTTTGGCTTCAAGTGGTAGCAAACTTAACAAGCGACTTGTCATCATTTCAAATTTCACCTCGTGGTCTGTCATGGCTGCCCCACCTCCTGCTGTATGTTCTCATTTGAGCCAGCAGGAAGGAGAAAAGGACAATTTGCTGTCCCTCTCCTTTTGACTTTCAGAGGTGGCTGGCTGGCCAGTTCTCCATCCTAAATCAACCCAAGTGCAGGTTTTCTACACCCATGCGTCTGGGCTCTCTAACACTGCTGGAAACAATTACCCAACTGTGCAAACTGGCTGCGTGGGCTAGTTTTTTTTTTTTTTTTTTTTTTTTGAGACAGAGTCTCACTCTTTTGCCTGGGCTAGAGTGAGTGCCCTGGCGTCAGCCTAGCTCACAGCAACCTCAAACTCCTGGGCTCAAGCAATCCTTCTGCCTCAGCCTCCCGAGTAGCTGGGACTACAGGCATGCGCCACCATGCCCGGCTAATTTTGTCTATACATTTTTAGTTGTCCAATTAATTTCTTTCTATTTTTAGTAGAGACGGGGTCTCGCTCTGGCTCAGGCTGGTCTCGAACTCCTGAGCTCAAACAATCCGCCCGCCTCGGCCTCCCAGAGTGCTAGGATTACAGGCGTGAGCCACCGCGTCCGGCCGGGCTAGTTTTTGAGCTCCAACCTCAGCTGGGCCCTTGGTGCTAAGCCAAAGCCTCCCTATTCTTCTCGTATTTCTCTCACGGTTACCTCAGGGGCTGTTCCAAACTGTCAGCTCCCCCAGGCTCCTCACCATCCCCAAATATTCATACTCGACAGCTTAATGTCCCCTTTACAGAAATCATAAAGGTCACTGGACAGGAAGTTTCTCAACTTTCTCCAGAATCTCTTGAGAACCTCCATTCCCACTGCCTCTCCCTGTGTGTAGATCCCTGTCTTTTCTAACCCAAATGATGGCATCACCCTCCTCACTCCTCTCCCTGCCTCTAGCTCCAGAGTTACCTTTCTAGAACATAGATCTTGTTCCTTCCCTCCCCTGCTTCAAAGCCTTGAATGCCTGCATGTAGTCCCTTAGCTTAAGTCTGGAAGCTTTCGCCAGGTATTCAGGGCCTCTCACAGTTCTAGCTTTCCTGTCCCTGTGTCATACCATTTTCACTGTGTGACCGCACCCAGCCAGGACCTGATACTTAATGGCAGTGTGCACTCTGTCATACAAATTAGTGTCACTCTTCCTTTGGAGGTCTGAGGTTGAGATTTTGCATTTCATGAATTTCTCTGACGTCCTACTAGCATCCCCCTGGCACCATGATGATGCCGTAGGAACTGGTGTGGTAATTCCCTGAGTCCCTCAAACCCCAGCCGTTTGTCAATGTATTATATTTTACTTTTGCATATTTTGCTTCCTATAGAATGGGAGGTACGGAATCATATCCCTTCTGGAACTATAATGAAGGCCTTGATGGAAGGTGGTGAAAATGGGCCTTGGATGAGATTTATGAGAGGAGAGATAAAAGTGCAGGATTTCTTACAAGAATTTGGGAGACTTTGCTCTGAAATGGTGAGTGATAAACATACCTGCATTTCCGTATTATTCTTTCTGCATTGAGTAGTGGTTGCAACATTCATCCATAAGTTGATTAAACTGAAAATAAAGCAAAACGTAGGCCTGCCGCCATGGCTCTTGCCTGTAATCCTAGCACTTTGGGAGGTTGAAGCAGGAAGATCACTTGAGGTCAGGAGTTCGAGACCACCCTGAGCAAGAGTGAGACCCCATCTGTACAAAAAATAGAAACATTAGCTGGGTGTGGTGGTACACACCTGTAGTCCCAGCTACTCGGGAGGCTGAGGCAGGAAGATCACTTCAGCCCAGGAGTTCAAAGTTGCATTGTACTCCAGCCTGGGTGACAGAGCAAGACCCTGTCTCAAAAAAAAAGTGAAACCTAATGTTTCAGTTCATTTTGCACTGCTACAAAAAAATGCCTGAGGCTGGGTAATTTATAAAGAAAAGTGGTTTATTCGGCTCACAGTTCTGCAGATTGTTCAGGAAGCATCGCACCAGCATCTGCTTCTGCTGAAGGCTTCAGGGAGCTTCCCATCAAGGTGAAAGGTGAAGAAGAAGCAGGCGTGTCACATGGCGAGAGAAGGAGCAAAGATGGTGGGAGTGGTGCCAGGCTCCTTCAGACAATCAGCTCTTAACTAATACAGAGAGAACTTACCCATTATGGAGGGGAAGGCACCACGCGATTTATGAGGGATCCACCCCATGACCCAAACACCTCCCACCGGGTCCACATTCAACACTGGGGATCAAATTTCAACATGAAATTTGGAGGAGCCCAACATCCAAACCATATCGTCTAATAACCCATTATGTGTTTTTAAGCTATTTCTTCTATCCCTAGGTACTCAACTTTAAATTCACGTATGCATAAGTAGAAATATTCTTTAGTAAGCCCCTCCAGCAGATTTTTTTTAATGTTTACTTGTTTATTATAAAGGATATTATGAAGGATACAGATGAACAGTCACCTGACAAGATGCACAGGGGGAAGGGGTGCAGAGCTTCCATGCCCTTCCTGGGCCTGCCACCCTCCAGCACCTCCGTGTGTTCAGCAACCCAAAAACTCCCCGCACCCCACAGATAGTGAAACAGGACCTGTCTGCATAAAGGCTTTGATCAAAAATATTATTTAAAGCAGTAATATTAGCATTTTCTCTGTATTGTGTATTACTCTAAGCTCTTTATATTAACTCATGTAACCCTCACAATAGCTCTACTAAAATATAATTTAGAAATATAATAGTAAGAAAAGTTCTGTAGGTGGATGGTGATGATAGTTGTATAACAATGTGACTGTACTTAACACCACTACATTGTACACTTAAAAATAGTTAAAATGAGCCAGGCGCAGTGGCTCACACCTGTAATCCTGGCACTTTGGAAGGCTGAGGTGGGAAGATCACTTGAGGCCAGGTGTTCGAGACTAGCCTGGGCAACATATCAAGACCCCATCTCAAAAAAAAATTTTTTTTAATTACCTGAGACTGGTGGTGAGCCTCTATCATCCTAATTACTCAAGAGGCTGAGGCAGGAGGATCATGTGAGCCCAGGAGTTCGAGACTGCAGTGAGCTGTGATCTCAGCACTGCACTCCAACCTAGATGACAGAGTGAGACCCTGTTTCAAAACATAAAAAAAGTTAAAATGGTAAATTTTATGTTTCATATATTTTCTGTAATTAAAAAATATGTATATATAAAATAGTAAACCTTGAAAACGTTATGCTAAGTGAAAGAAGCAGCCAGTCAAAAAAGACCACATATCGTACGGTTCCATTTACATGAAATGTCCAGAATAGGCAAATCTATAGAGACAGAAAGTAGATTAGTGGTTTTCCAGGCCTGGGGCTGTTGGGGGAAATGAGGAGTGACTGCTAATGGGTATGGGTTTCCCTTTAGGGTAATGAAAATGTTCTAAAATTGATTGTGGTGATGGTTGCACAACTTTATGAATATATTAAAAACCATTGAATTGTATACTTTAGGTGAATTATACAGTATGTGAATTATATTTCAATAAGGCTATTATAAAATATCTGTGTGTATATATGTATATATAAAACAGCAGACTTTGCTTTTGCAGATTTTGAAACTTGATAATAATAAGAGTTTTAGAAAACTCACATAGATTGAATTTAAAAACAAAAAAATTGATGAGAAACTAAAGTTCATAATGGTGATGCTGAGGCAATACAAAATCATTAAGTGCCTTCTGGATCATTAAAAATTAAATTACATCTGCTTAATACACTTTTAGACTTTAATGTATCCTCTTATGACGTTCTGGTATTTTTTCAATTAGCCATCCACGAGTGGAATAAAGAAGTCATTTAATTGCATTATTGATATAAATAGCTCCATTCCCTCATCATTGTAACTCCAATTCTAAGTTACTTTTTTAAAAAACCTTAGATGAAGAGTTCAGCACAGGGTTGGAGGGAGACAGCAAGCCGAGAGTCCGGACACTTACAACCAGAGAGCAGTAGGAAGCCAGGAATAAGTCTTTTCCGTTTGTCGGGACTGGTTCTCACTCTTAACGATTCTGGTTCTCCTCCGCCCTCCCTGTTCTTAGTCAAAGACCTCTGTGCCTGTGGACTCATTTTTCTCTCTGCTGACCGGTGAGCAAGTGGCAAAGCAGTTCCCAGTGATGACTGAGGCCATCGCTCAAATTCGGGCAAAAGGCCTTCGGACTGCAGTCTTGAGCAATAATTTTTACTTTCCTGATGGGAGAAGCTTTTTGCCCCTGGACCGGAAACAGTTTGATGTGGTAAGCTCACAGTGATTCAAACAATCAAAACAGGATCTGTGCAGGATGCAACATTAAATGCTGCCTTTTAGCAGGTCTTGAGGGAATGGTTATTTATTTAGAAACTTGACTAAGTTAGGTTTAGATGCAGTGGGTTGAAAACAGGGTTTTTAGAATATGACTGTGCTCTTAGCAAGGTCACCATTTGTGGGATTTGAAAACTGATTGTAACCTCAGCTTTAGAGACTCCCTTACATTCTGAATTCAAGCCTTTGTCTTCATATAACAAGAGCATCTCCATCAGCCTGCACATCTTAATGGGCCTTTTGACCTTTTCTCTTCTCAAACCAACTATGTTGCCCTCTATGCTGTGATGTTAATTCCCAGACCAGCACTGTCCAGTAAAACTTGACTGCCTCCCTGGCCTGATTTAGTCCCCTGCTGAATTGATACGATATGCTCCATGTGTATATGCCGACCTTGAATGCTTATGATACAGTTTTGACGTGCTTGGCTGTATTTGGGTACTTTTTAAATGTTTGTGTCTTATAACCAACAGCAGTGATAATTCTCTTTAGACACTCCAAAGCCCAGATTGGCATAGAGCTTCCAGGGCCTTACAGAGTTGGGATGGATCAGGAGGAACCTTCCCTGTGGCCCACTCCTCCAGGGATAGTCCGGGTCGGTGCAAATGGGAAACATCTGGCTAAATACAGTGAGTCACGGTGGCCTCTGGAACACATTAGGAGAAACTTCTCTGATAACTTGAGCATTGCACATTTTATTAATAGAACCCCTTTCTGTTTCTTTCCATCCTTGGAAGAGGTACTTTGGTTTGACTCCAGAAAGTAGCATGTTCCCTGCCCCTTAGTCCTAAATCTGCCTGTTGTGTGTGTTTGTGCCCTTAATTGGACCAGTGAGATTAATGTATAGGTTTTCAACTCTGCCTGCACATCAGCATGACCTGGGAGTTTGTAAAGGTACCAGGTACCTTTCCCTGGAAGTTCTCATTGAGTGTGTCTGGGCAGGACCTGGACATGCATATTTATGAAAAACACCATAGGTGATTCTGCCGTGCAGTTGGGGTGAGAACCCCTGAGATGCAGTGGGTTCTGTCCACAGTTCTCTCCTGTCACACGGCCCCCAGCATGCCCACCTTGAGAAGGAGGCTTCCCTTCTACCTTCCTGTGACAGATCCTTGACAAACTAAAACCATTTTTATTTCATCTATATTTGGACAAACACTGGCCATGTTCCCACAGTTCCTCGTTTGCCGAGGAGGTAATAGAAACCTTGAACAGGTTCATGCCATCTGTGCAAAAGGGAAGGGAAAGAGAAGGCCAGAGATCTATCAAACAAATCTTCAGGATTTTTCACCTCACCCAAATGCAGCTGACCTGGTGAGAAGAGCTGTCTGCTCGTCAGAACTTGGACCCATCCCCGTGAGTCCCCTCTGCTCTCTCACGTCTTGTCTCAGCTGGCACAACTATGAAGCACAACAGCGAGAAGCTGCTTCCTTCTAGCATAATGTATCGATTGGTGTGTGACATGTCCTGCTTCTCTGCTACCCACGATTAACATTTTCTTTAGGGGGAGCTTCTTAGTATTCTTTTAACTCACTCAGGTCCTTAGGAGACAAGGAAAAGTGAGTAGAAAGGTCCAGTTTATTCAGGACATTTATTTACCTGAAAGAACAGTTTCACCCACCTAGAATACAAGTGGAGGGAGGGTCCCTTGCTTTTGTCCTTGACCTTAGAGAACGTGGGTCATTCCAAACAGTGAGTCAGACATTTAGTTCTATTCTTAGGGAGGACCAGAGGGTGTTGGTTATAGGCCTATATGGCCCTGCTGGGCCCACTTTATAGAAGATTAAGCCCTGGAGACAGTGTAAGAGCACTTCCAGGGGGTCACTGGATCAGAGATAGCCTGACGCTGAGATAGCTTTTTCAGGGTTCTCCTGAACCCTCACCAGCCCCCCAGTTCCAGATGATGTACATGGCTGAAGCAAGGCTGTCAGGGTAGAGGGGCCTCCTAGCATGAAAGGAACAGTGTCTTTGCCACTGTGGTATCTTTGGTATCAGTCCTCCTGTGGGATTTCTGTCTAAATTGAGTATGGATGGGTTATTTTTTTTAACCTCTGAAGTAAACATTAAGGTCATGTTTATTTTGTAGCAGTAAACAGTCCCCTCTTTCTGGAAAAATGGTAAAATATTTTCCATAAAGCTGACATGTACAGCTTATCTTCTGTTCTGTGTAGCCCCAATATATGGCATTAGCAAAATGCCATCCACTGTGACCTTGCTGTTTGTATAAGGTCGTAGCATCTGAACCAGAACTTTGGTTTCGTGAGTTTGCCCCCAGGTTGTAACCTAGTATTGTCAAATCACTCAACGTAAGAAGGCAACATCATTTTATATCATAACACTCTTAAGTTACTTACTGAAATAAATCTCAACTGTCCTCCTCATGTTCTTCCTTTCAAAAAGTTTACCAGCATGCGTGTGGGAGCGCCACCTTTAGGGACATTCATCTCTCATTCCTGTCCCTCCCTCAGGTCGTGGAGTCCTGCCTGGAAGGTATCTGTAAGCCAGACCCTAGGATCTACCAGCTGTGCTTAGAGCGGCTCGGCCTGCAGCCCTCTGAGTCCATCTTTCTTGACGATCTTGGACCAAATCTAAAAGCAGCTGCCAGCCTTGGTATTCGCACCATTAAGGTAATAGTCACTATGTTTTGAACCCTACTATGCACCAGGCACTATGTTTCTACCCAGTCTTTTTACATTTGTAGCTGTAGCTTTCCTTAGTGGTTTCCCCCATGTTTCCATAGTCATCTTATTTTTGTTTTTATTAATTTGGACATCTATGTGACTAGCTGCTTGTATTTTCAATGGGAAGCAAGACAAACACATACTAAGAAGGCATTTTGAGAAAATGCCTTGTATACAAGGAGGTGAATGGCAGGCTAAAGACAGCGCGTGGCATTCAGACTGTCCTAGTGATCTAGTGATGCTGTTCTAGGTGGGGAGCACTCGGGCTACCCAGGCCATGAAGGCTATGAAGTGCAAGAAGCCATGTGAGAGCTCTCGGCCAGCCTTCTTCTACATTTGAGTTTTCATTACTAAGCTAATGGGCCTGTAGAGACAGAGCAAATGCAGCAGCACAATCTTCCTTCTGCCTTCTTGTCCCAAGAGAGTATATTTTTTAAGACGGAGTCTCACTATGTTGCCCAGGCTGGCCTTACACTCCTGAGCTCAAGTGATCCTCCTGCCTTGGCCTCCAGTAGCTGGATTGTAGGCAGCAGCCATCACACTCTGCTGTGTTGTGAACTCTTAACCGATGCTCTTCCCTGCAGATAGAAAGTTCAATGTGGGTAGGAGTTATTAATAAATGGGAAGAGGAAACTCATTCTGCTGCTTCCTCATTAGCTGAGTATCCTGTCTGCAAAGGCCTTCCTCAGAGAACTGACTTCTTCAATAACTTCCTCTAAAGAACTACCCTTGCAGAGAACAGACAGGAAGGGAGGTCAGGACCAGCTGGTGGTTCAATATTTTCTCTGAAACCAGGTTCATGACCCAGAGACTGCAGTAAAGGAATTAGAAGCTCTTTTGGGTTTTACATTGAGAGCGAGTATTCCAAACACACGTCCTGTGAGAAAGACAATGGAAATTCCAAAAGAGTCCTTGGAGAAATACCTCAAAGACTTACTAGGGATCCAAACCACAGGTATGTGAATTTTGGTATTTTGGTAACTCTCCTCAAGGCTGTGCTTTCAGTCTGGTTCTCACTTTCAAATCCTGATGGAATGTGCTAGAGACAAAGAGGCAGTGTGATGGGAAAGCAGCCATTGGGCCTGGTGGATCTGAGTGCTGTTTTCAGTTTTGCTTGGGAAAAAGCATTGACTTCCTTTTTCATGGGTCCCCCAAAGTGTACCTGTGCCTCTCCTCTACGTGAGAGCGTGGTAGAGCAGCAGTCACCTGCAGACGGCTTTCAGGGAGGAGAGGAACTTGGGGACTGCAGTGTGTGCTCAGGGGGGTTTGAGAGCTTCTAATTTTTTAAGAGGACAGCCTGCTTTGTGAAGGTGACTTGAAAGCTGCATGATTTTAAAATGTGACAAGATGTCTCCATCTCTCGGAGAGAAGTTCCTTCTCTCATTCTCCGCATTCCACCCTCAGAAAAACAAGTGCCTTGTGAGCTTTTGAAGAGATTCTTACCAGATGATCAAGTTTTGCCTTACCCTCTTGGTCCTTGAAAAAGGCTTTTATTGATAGAGTTTCATGTTACGATATTTTCCAGTGATTGGATTCTTGGTAGTGTCTCTGCGAAGCTGAGGGGCCCCTTCTGACCAGGCTGACAGACTCAGGCAGTCCCTTTGCTCTCCTGCTCTTCCGACCGAGTGAAGTGAATCTACGTCCAGAGTTCAGTCCGATGAAGCCGAGGGTTAGTGAGGTTCACCTCCTCAAGGAGCCTACAAGGGAGCCACAGAATTCAGCCTGGTGGAATGGGAAATTGCATCCCACGGAAGCTTTAGCTAAAGCCGAAGGCCTCTGCATAGCTCCTTTTAGCTGTCACGTCAGTGTCAGGCTGAGGGACACACAAGGGCACTTTTCATCCTCAGGCTTAAAGCATTCCATTTGGCAAGATGAGTTGCCATGACTGTGCTTATGGTTGATAAACAGAATAAAAATGTTTTTGGTCATGGAGCAGGAGTTGGCAAGAAGGGTAAAATTGGACACCGGTACAAAGTGAGAAAATTATCATAGTGTAAAGCCAGTGGCCTTTGCCAAATTGTAGTGGCATGTGATTCTGGACCTGAGCTGGCAGGTGCGCCTGGGACTCAGTCCCTCCTGGTACCCAGGGAGGAGATGCCTTCCTTGTTCTGCATATCAGACAAGGATATTTTGCATCCGAAGTGCAGGACTCATTAGAAAGAAAGAATGTCTGTCCAGACCTGTCCTCAGATCCGGTTTGAATTTTTGATGTTTGCAAACTTGCAGGCCCATTGGAACTCCTGCAGTTTGATCACGGGCAGTCAAATCCAACTTACTACATCAGACTGGCCAATCATCAGCTGGTTCTGAGGAAGAAACCTCCAGGGACACTCCTTCCATCTGCCCACGCAGTGGAGAGGGAGTTCAGGTAAGTTCTCAGGGCCCAGGGGGCACTTGCCCACCTGGCCTCCATGTTGCACACGCTCAGCCCCTAGCTGGAAAGTCAGCACTCTGTAAAAGTGCCCTGACACGTTTAAAGCTGCAATTAGGAATCTCTCAGTTATTTCAAATGAGAACACATAACTAATTTCATTCAGAAGTTTGGCTTCTCTTTTCTATTCCTAAACTTGCTGGAGGCTAGATTTTTTTTGGAACTTCTAGATGAAAAAAGGCATTATTGAGATGCTCTTTAGTCTTGCCCTTTAGTTTTAAAAACTTTCCAGTAAAGATTAAAGTCTTTAGGACCTTTAGTCTTAAAATCAATATATTAGTGGGGCTACATGTGGCCATGAGTGGATAGTCATCGAAGCTGGATGACAGGTACATGGGGTTCACTATACAAATCTCTCTACCATTATATGTGTTTGAAATTTTCTGTACTAAAATATTTAAAAGAATAAATGCATTATAACCCATCCCCAGTAAAATATTTTGTTTTGCAAATAGGAAAATTTAAACATAGAAGGTAGGAAAAAACCTCACTGCAAATCCCTTGGAGAGTGGGCAGCAAAGCCACAAAAGAGCTCTAGGGTGGGGCTCGCTGTCCTAGGAGATTTGCCCTGCCTCTTCTTATTTCAGCCTCTTACACTCTACAGAAGGAGGGTTGCAGAGAGTAATAGGAAAATGGGATTTCAGCTCCCGGCCCCTCCTTGTTCTTGTTGTTTACTGTCTCTCCTCTCGACTCTTTGGTTCCTAGACTCTGCTTTCCCCAGGTGTTGCAGGGACTGCTGACTAAAGATTATAAAGCCTTAGGGGTTACTCACAGGAGAAAGCCTATAGCTATTTTTGAGCACTTACTATGTGCCCATATGAGAGCAGATGTGTATTTGTGGAAAGAGAGACCTTAAAATTGTAAAACCACCACTGTGTTTTCTGTGTATCATGCTTGGGATCGCTCTCTAACCCTTCCCAGAGGTACCAAGGAATTCTGGAGTGCTAAAATGATATTCAAAAAATCCAGGAATGCACAGAATTTCCACTGTAGTAAAAACTGAAATGTTCATTTGAAGATGAAACATAATATAGTATCTGCTTATAAAATGCCAAACGTGGCCAGAAGCAGTGGCTCACGCCTATAACCCTGGCACTTTGGGAAGTGAAGGTGGGAGGATTGCTTGAGGCCAGGAGTTTGAGATCAGCCCAGGCAACATAGTGAGACCTCATCTCTACAAAAAATGAAAAAATTAGTCGGGTGTGGTGGTGCATACCGGTAGTCCCAGCTACTCAGGAGGCTGAGGTGGGAAGATCACTTGAGCGCAGGAGTTTGAGGCTGCAGTGAGCTATGATGACAACCCTGCTCTCCAGCCTGAGCAACAGTGAGACCCTGTCTCTTAAAAAAAAAAAAAAAATTTCTTCCTTGAATGTTTCATAGAATTCACCAGTGAAATCATCTGTGCCAGGAATTTTCTTTTTTTTTTTTTTTTTTTTTAGACAGAGTCTCACTGTGATGCCCGGGGTAGAGTGCCGTGGCATCAGCCTAGCTCAGAGCAACCTCAAACTCCTGGGCTCAAGCGATCCTCCTGCCTCAGCCTCCTGAGTAGCTGGGACTATAGGCATGCGCCAACATGCCCGGCTAATTTTTTCTATATATTTTTAGTTGTCCGATTAATTTCTTTCTATTTTTAGCAGAGATGGGGTCTCGCTCTGGCTCAGGCTGGTTTCGAACTCCTGAGCTCAAGCAATCCACCCGCCTCGGCCTCCCAGAGAGCTAGGATTACAGGCGTGAGCCACCGCGCCCGGCCAGGAATTTTCTTTAGGAGAAGGTTTTTGATTATGAATTCAGTTTAATAAATACAGGGTTACTCAGATATTTTATTTCATTTTGTTTTAGTTTTGATAAGTTGGAATTTCTAAGGAATTTTTCCATTTCACCTAAGCTGTCAAATTTATTGTTCATAATATCACCTTATTATCCTTTTTTTTTTGAAGATAGGGTCTCCGTCTGTTGCCCAGGCTAGAGAGCAGTAGCATCATCATAGCTCACTGCAGCCTCAAAGTTCTGGGCTCAAGTGATCCTCCAGCCTCAGCCTGGCCTGCCTTTTAAAGTATGTAGGATCTGTAGTAATATCCCCTCCTTATCGTTCCTGGTATTGATTGATAATTTGTTCTCTCTTTTTTTCTCTCTCATCATTCTAGCTAGGTATGTATCAATCATGTTGATCTGTTCAAAGAACCAATATTTGGTTTCATTAATTTTTTCTGTTTTTATTGTATTTCTACTGTTAACTTTATTCCCTTTCATCTACTTACTCTGGGTTTATTTTTACCTTCTTAAGATGTAATCTTAAGTCAGTGATTTAAAATCTTTTTTCTTTTCTAATACAAACATTTAAAGTTGTAAGTGTGTTTCTAAGCACTTCTTAGCTGCATTCTACAAATTTTGTATTTTTATTATTATTCTAATTTGAAATACTTTCTAATTTCTCTTTTGATTTCTTTTTTAACCCATGGGTTATATAGAAGTGTGTTGTTTAGCTTTCAAATATTTGGGTTTTTTCTAGATACCATACATTAGTTTAATCATATTCTAGTTTAATTCCACTGAGATCCGAGAAATATTCTGCACAATTTCAATATTTATTGAAATTTAATGAGACTTATTTTATGGACCAGCACATGATTCATCTTGGTAAACATATTGTGTACACTTGAAAATAATGTGTATTTCACAATTGCCGAGTGAGTGTCCTAGAAATATCCAGCAGGTCAAGTTGGTTGGTAGTGTTGTTCAGATCTATGTCTTTAGATAAAGCTCTTTGTCTAGTTCTATCATTACTGAGAAAGGAGTGTTAAAATCCCAACTATGATTGTGGATTTGTCCATTTTTCTCTTTAATTTGAATCATTTTTACTTCATGTATTTCTAAGGTATGTTTTAAGCACGTGTGTATTTGTGATTGTAGTATTTTCCTGATAATCAACTCCTGTACTGTTTTGAAATGTCTGTCTGTCTCTGGTAATGCTCTGCCCTAAAGCCCACTTTACCTGGTACTGGAGTAGCCACGCCGGCTCCATTACACTTAGCAATTGCACAGTACTTCCCTTTCTAGCCTTTCGTTTTCAACCTATCTATGTTTTTATATTTAAAGCATAACTCTTGTAGACATCATATAGTTTGGTCATATATTGATATGTTTGATGTAGATCTGTGACTTCACCATTTGTTTTTTGTTTACCCCATCTGTTTTGTGTTCTTATCTACTTTTGGGTCAATTGAATATTTCTTAGAATTCCATTTCAGTTTATGCCTGTACTAATTTTTAAATCAGAATAGTAATTTCAAGAACATTTCATGAGTTCTGCCAGCAGTTCTGCTTATGTTATTTTGTTCTGGCAGGATTATGAAAGCCCTTGCAAAGGCTGGAGTGCCTGTCCCTAATGTTGTTGACCTCTGCGAAGATTCAAGGTAAAGTTCAGATGTATTTTTGCCATTGCATATTCAAGCTACAGGAGTGAAAAGCCTATATGCTAATTCAAATTCCAGATTGTTCAAGACAAATAAAGTTTGGGTAGGAGAGAAAAGAGACTTTATAGCAACCTCCCCCAGAAGTTCTCAGATCTTTTAGTTATCCTGAAAGATCAACATATGCCTGCTTTTATGAGATTGGTAGAAAACATCTTTTTGAACATTCCAAAAATATATGTTCATCTAGTTTGGTGTTGCTTCTTTTTTTTTTTTTTT